TCTCAAAATCTTGCCTCTGATCGTTCGATCCTTTTCCCTGTGAAGTACTCTGTTTCTTCGCCGGTGCCTTTTTCGTCATGTCCTTACCTTGTTCCTGCTTTTGTGCTTTCCTTACCGCAGCCACCAATACCTTGGCTTGGATCTTCTGTTTCTTTTCATCCCGTCTCATGTACACTTTCTGGGCTTCCCGGAGCAGCTCCTGCAATCCTTGTTCCTGCCACCCATCTATCTTTTCTAACTTCTTCCGAATGTCCTCCCAAGATTTCGCCACAAACTGAGTTTTTAGCAAAACCATCCCCACCGGAGAATCAGGATCCGTTCCCAAATACATTCTCAGACCCTTGTGAAGTCTCTCCAACCATTCCGTGGGGGTCTCATCTTTCCCTTGGCACTCTCTGAGTACCTTGCTCATGTTCTATCCCTTGGGTACCGCCTCCCTGATACCCTGAATTATCGTATTTCTCAAATTTATAATTTTCTGCCTCCCCTCCTCCGTCTGGGCACTCCAAGATCGTTTCTGATTTGGCCATCTCTCGTCCCTGATCCCCCCGTTAGGGTTCCTCTTTTCCCAATCTTTGTTCGCGGCTTGCCTGATCATGTCTCTTTCCTCGTTAAACAGCGATCTTAGGACCGCTTGGAGATCCTCATAGGTGTATGTGCTGGTCCCTAGAAATTCATCTAGCCTTTCCGCCACCCCAAAGGATCATCCATCAATTTTCCCATTTCTTTCTCGAACACCCTATCATCATTCGTGTCGATCGGCGCATGCACGAAGCCGATCACTCCCGGAGCCGTTGGCACTTCCCGTAAAGGGAAGAAGCCGGGCTTCTCTTCCTCGTCCCCACTGTCTCCCGTGGTTGCCCTCCTTGTTCGCCGCCTCGTCTGATGGGCCGGGGGAGAGCTGTCTCTGGGGACAGTTACCTGTTTTTCTTCGGTTTTGGGAAGGGTCTGCAGCAGTGTTTGCTCACATGGGAGCGGAGTCGCCGCCGCTGCCACTTGTTCACGTAGAAGGGAAGGCGCCACAGCCTGCTCCGGTGGGAGCGGCGGTGCCGAGACCTGACCCAGCAGGATCGCTGCCTCGAGAGGCAGTGATGGCACCGGCTGTGCCTGAGCTGGTCCAGGCTGTGGTGGAGGAACAAGGTAAGGAGGTGGAAGATTGTCCAAAGGTTCCCATTCCTTTCCCCTGTTTACCGCGCGTCGGAGGGCTTGTACCGGGTGTAAACTTGTACAAGCATACCTCCGCATCTCGGCATACTCAATTTCCTCAAAATCCTGCAGGCGGCAATCAAATACGTGATCATACAAGGACTCACAAGTCCAAGCCTCAAATGTGCCGAAAATTGGCCAAACTACGTATTTTCTGATCTCCTTCCCTCCCCATTTTTCCATACAAAAACGGATCATTGTCTCCTTGGATCTGCCCGCTCTCCTTGGGCTCTCATCCCAATGTTCTAGCATCCACCCCAACGGACTATCTCTTGGGATTTCTGGCAGAAATTTCCCGGGACCCTGGGGAGATTTTTCCTGGGATTTTCTCTGAAACCTGCTCTTTCCCAACCCCATTTTTCCAAAAATCCCTTCTGTGATTTTTCTCACCTTGTCTCCTCCGGCTGGGACGCTTGTCGCAAGTCCCAATTCTTTGTCCGATGTCGATTTTCTGAGCTTGCAAAACGCCGCCAGTCTCACTCAGTTGAGCGGAGAACCGTTCGGCTGACTTTTCGACTGATTTCTGGTTTTCTTACCTGTTTTCTCTGGATCAGAAGGCAGATGGGCTCCTAGAATTTTCTAGGACCGTCTCTTCCCCCTCCTGACCCAACTGTGACTGATTTTCCCCCTCGAACCCCCTGCGAGTCTCAGGTCCCGTGTGTGTTAAGCAAAGAGCATCCGCTTCCCCCTTGACCGACCACATCCCTCGTGGGATGGTGGAACTGCGATTGTGGGGTCCACACTCGCTTTGTGACAGAGTCACATCTCACACATGTTCGGTCACACCCCACTCAACCACGCGATACTCACGGTTCTTTTTCCCATGTGCGTTCTTTGTGCACGTCGATTTTCCGAGTGGAAAAAAAACCTCAGGCTCGGAGATCCCCTGGATCTTTCAGAGTTTCCGAGAATTTGGCCCGTTTTTATCCCTCTTTGGCTGTGGCTCCGGTTTCAGTTCTGTGATTTTTGATTGGCCTTGCGGACTCCAATCCTGCTCAGACAGCTGAAATCAGCAGGGTGCCCTCCAGGTGGGAAGGGGTCCCGAACCCCAAATTCAAATCACGTCAGGTTGTCACCAGATAGTTATAAATGATCAAATTGTGAGCCAAAATTATCAAAAATTTTGGAAAGATTTATTAATTTTTCTGCGAGACCGAAGTTCTGTCTTCGAAACCACCACAGCCAAAGAGACAGCGTCGAGCCCGGGATCGGCGCTGGGTGAACACGGATCTGACCTCCTGAGTGTCAGAGTTCCCCCAGTTCACACTTGCTGCTTCATGCAGTGAGGTTTTATACAGTTTATTCTGCCCGAGGCAAAGATGACCGAATTTTCTTTGTGTCTCTTCACATGCATCACTGTTGCTTTCCATGTACAGAGGTGGACAAAAGCCTCGTCCAGGTGTGCCATTGGTGTCAATTGGCTTTGGAAGAGCCGTGTATTCAGATGTATCAGGGTGGCACAACTGACTATCTTGATAGATGCAATCGGCAAGGCGATAATCGCTTTCTAATCGCTTTCGGGTGGCTCTCGGGGAAACCAATGATCATCGCCCTGGAAGCTTCTATTCTTACATTAAGGTGTCGATTGTTATCTTAACTTGCGTCCAGGAACTAGTTGAATCTGAATAAGACAGCTGCTCTGGGCCGGAGTAGTCAAAAGACATGGTTTGGATTTCACAATATTTTTATACCATACATTAATAGCATGAATTATCCCTACCCTATATTACAATTATTTATGAAAGAAATACATGTTCTGGGTTTAGTGTCACGACAGGAGGTCTGGTAAGTAAATTTAGTTTAAATCATGCAAGTTCTCAAAGCAGTTGTCTGTCAACTAAGTGAGCATTTAATGAGTACACTGCATTTCCATGTGAGGGCTCATGTTAAGACTCTTCTCAACTTGAAGAGCTCATGTCTCCATAGGGGCATGGACCCTAAAAGGGGCTGTGAAAAATGCGTATTTTATGATTGGCTTTTCGCAAATATTTAAATGACTATTACCATGTGTTATTTTAGAAAGTTATGCTGTATTACTTTGCTTAAGTAGTGCGTTAAATATAGTTTTAGGTTATAACATAATGTTAAAATAGAAACTATGCTATGTCAGATACTTTTTTTTAAGAGACGACTCGCAGCAAGATAGCAGCTACAGGACACCTAAATCTTTCAGAGAAAAAGAATTTATTGCTCCCTTATCAGAAGAAACTAACTTCTTCCTGCCTTGCTCAGCGCTGAGACGCCATTAGGATTAAGAGGAAGAAATTGACACTGACCAGACAGAATTCTTTGTTTGAATGGAATTTATGCATCATGTGTGAGGTGTATTATTGATATATTTACCAATATAGCTGGATGGGATGTGCCTTAGCTTGTCTGGCCCTTGCTGCTGAACCAAATAGTGGCATCTGTGGTGTTTCACCCTAGAGACGCTTTTGGCTAGCTTTGTGTTGCGGCTGGGCATGTGGAGACAAGTCCAGGCATGCTGGAGCTCTGGTGGTGGCGGGATGGAGCTTCCTCACAAAGAGGGTCTGCTCCTCAGGTTTTCCTCTGACAGAGAATCTTTAAGGCAATGGTGAAGGAAAGGAGTCGGTTGTAATGGAGGGTTTTAATCCAGAGCGTTTATTCTGGCCCGCAGGCCTCTGAATCCAGCAACAGCTCCAACAGAACTCCCTGAACCATGTGGTTGCCTGCCCTTTTAACCCGGGGGAGAGGGGGAGGGAAGGGGTAGGAAGCCCACCAACCAGGTACAGGAGAGGAGGTCTTAGGGGACAAAGGACACCTGGATGGCCCAATGCCCCCCCCCCCCCCCCCTCCCGGGGTGTCGTAGCGGCGGGAGAGATGCGACACACCATATGCGATGAATAGCAAATCTCGAAGTTTATTGAAACTCCACACATATTTATATCAGTGTTAATGAAGCTTATACATATTGCAAAAGTCGAGCTCATTATTGGTTAAAGCACACTTAGATCAAACACACCTACTTCTATCTCTTAACAATTATTTTGTTTCTATGTGTACATTCTTCTAATTTCTCTACCTTGGGATAGCTACATTTTCTGCATTTTCTGGCAAGCAATTTTCTCCCCCGTCTTCCCGTTTTAGAGAAGGTCACTGTGACCTTCGTCAGTAATTAGGCACCGGTTGCTCAGTTCCCAGCCTGTTTCTCTTACCCTTATCCATCGGTATCACATCGGAATGTCCTTTCTCAGCTAACCAATTATCTAAAAAGCTCTCTACACCGGGGGTAGACGGCATCCTTTGAATCTGCCAATCACTCAACGCCCTTCTGGAATTCCAGGACTGACAGACAGTTCTCGGCAGGGGTCAGGGTGAGGAAAGAAATGATGATTGACAAACCTGAGAGGGAATCTTCAGGGGAGGGACTCAGGTTTCTGAGGTAAACCCTGACACACCGCAACAGTGTATGAATATGCAACAGGCTATTGTTTTTAAGGGTTAATCCTCTGTTAACGTGTGTCCTTTTTCAGGCTTATTTTGCCCAGAAAAAGGCACCCAGACGTCTGTAACTCCTTGTTTTTATTGTCTCATGTTGTCCTAATCCAAATTGTCCAAATTTTTATTATTCTAATTATATTACTATTTTTATAACCGTTTTATTACTATTAAACTTTTAAAACTTTGAAAACAAGTGATTGGAGTTTTTCACAGGGGCTATTAGAAACAAGCTCCTCATGAAAAATTTCATAGAAAGATAACTTAGACTAATACTTATGAAATGCTGATAAAACCCCACATTTTAATCATATACTTGTTTCATTTTTCTTCAGGTATATGTTGATATTCCAGGAGCTGTGGATTTGTTCCTTAACTTACCACTGGTCATTGGTACCATTCCTCTACATCCATTTGGTAGCAGAACATCAAGCGTAAGCAGCCAGGGTAGCATGAGCATGAACTGGCTTGGTCTGACTCTGCCTGAAAGACTAGAAGGTAGCATGATAATACAAATCCCAATCAATTTGCTGCTCTCTTGATTTTTGTCTGCTTTATTCATTGTAGTCTTGTTAACAGAGTCAAATTACATGCTTTTATAATAAAGCCCACAGGAGATCTGTTGTGGATGTTTTCTTGCCACCTGCTTGTTCTGTGTAGAGCAAGAGATTTTTTTTTCCCCTGCCTGCCTTTCTGTCTCTAGGACAGGCAGTGAAATCTAGCTTCTTTGGAAAGTGGCAGAAAAAAAAGCACAGGATACCATTGTATCTGTGCATAACTTCATTGCTTCCACTTCCAGTATCCCAATTGCATCCTTGGTTATAAGGCATTGCAACCCATAATAGCAGTTTCTGGGCTTTCTCATCAACCTTAGTAGCCAAGGCTTTGTGAAAAGATAATATTCTTTTCTATGGGAGATTTCTCATGGCCAAAGAAAGAATTATGTATTTCCTTCCTTCTCTTTTTGCGCATCTAATATCTTGCTTTCTTTAAGTGCAAATCCCAGACCTGGAGACTTCTGGAGTACAGAGGACTGCAGTGTTCTGTCATTTCTACCTGTACAGAGAATAAATTATCTTTGGTCTGATTTAAATTTTAAGGGGATAATTCAGCCACAATAAACAGTGGTCAGTCTGTCTTTGAACATAAACTTAATATCAGAATAGAACAAAATAGTCTTCCTTTTTTGTTTAACAATTTTTAAGTCACTGTTTATCTGCTGGTGAATATTTCAGTGGTTGAAGTTTAATATTTATCATGTTGTATATTTTGTCATGCATAAGAACTTGTTGTTTGAACTGTATGTACCTTCTCCCTCCAGCACCTCCTAACTATGCAGAAGTGGTCACAGAGGAAAACAGACAGTCTGGCCTTGCTCCTGTAGCTGCTTTTGATGATTTTCAGAGAGCACTGCAAGGACCATTATTTGCATACATCCAGGAGTTTCGTTTTCTGCCTCCTCCCCTATATTCAGAAGTAGGTATCTCTGTCAGACTATGATGATTTATATAGTGTTTGTGGCGGATTTTTTTTTTTTGTCTGATGGAATAAGTTTACAAACCTGTTTCTCCTTCCTAAAATTGGAAGAAACCATTAAAATGATGAACATGGAATAAGCTGGTTTTGAGGAGGATTTTTGTTTGTTTGCAAGATGCAGATGAATTGCATCATGAGTTTTCCATGCCTGTTTTACAGCATGGGTTACCCTTTTTATAATTTTTTTTTCTTTTTTTTTTACGTGAACTCTGCAACCTTAAATTTAAAAGGTGCTCCATGAGGTGCCTTGGCTTCTCCATTGTGCTATGTCCTGGAGCTGCCAATGGGGGGAGGTAATTCTTCTTGGCAGCACTCTTCCCTAGTCTAATACTTTCTGGAAATTTTCAAAGTGGTGTTTGCCATTTTAGAAACATAATTTTTAAAAATTTGTGTACCAAAAATAAGGTTTCAACTCTTTCACCTCTGCCGCTTCCTAACATTTTATAGCAACCACTAATCTGTTTTGCCTGCATGTGTGTTTAAATTCTGTGAACGTAGGTCTTTCAGAAGTTTCACGTAGAAAAGCGATGTATTGGTATTAATTTATGACTTAAGTTTTCTGAAGTACACAGTTCTTCAGCACTTTTGTCCTTCACAGAACTAAAAATGCAGCCACCAAATAACCGTGAATGAGATGCAAATTTCAAAGCTTTTCATGTTGATTTTTTTTCTTTTTCAAGAAAAATAAGTGATGTAGGACAAATGAAAAAAAAAAAGTGTCCTCTGGCCAAATTTGTTCTGAATTGATCCGCTTTAGGAAAATAGCATTACGTAGCATGACATCCCCCCCCGGCTTGAAATGCAAAACCAAAGGGCTACATGACGTTAACTGATTCAATGTCTAAAAGATGCAATGTACGTGTAAACTAATCTTACAGCTATTTTTTGAGACCTAAGTTAGCAGGCTTGTACCCTTTAATTCTCCTGTTGAGAGGAAGAAGAGGTAAAGTTTAGAGCACATGAACTTTTTGAAACATCCCATAGGATATTTGAATATTAACTACTTTAATTTAAAAGTAGAATGATTTTTTATTGATACATTTCTGCCATTTCAAGAAAAACTTCATTGCTTCTCTCAAGTAAATATTTCTTAAATTATGTTTCCAGTGGTATGTGTCAAGTAATCTTTTTTGCATATATCAGGTAATTCAAAAGACTTCTGTGTGAGTAAAGGAGAAAAAAATTTTTTATAGCAGTTATTCATGCTTATCCTTAAATTGTCATCAACCTGTAGTTTAAAGTCTTCCACTGGATCTAATATTTCTATTACTGTTTATCCAAAGTTTTGTCTAACTAGAAGTTTTTCAGTTATTTCAATAACACCTGGACTGGAAATGCCACATATCATTATAATTGTCTTAAACTTGTGAATTTTGATTTTTATTCCTAACAATTGATGCTGAAATGCACTGAGTTGTTGTGGCTTATATTTTGGGGTTTTGCTGTTTTGTTTTTTATTTTGTTTTTTTGTTCTGGGTTTGTTTGTTTATTTGGTCAACTGTTTGGTTGGGTTTTTTTGTTGTTTATTTTTTCTTGTTGTTGTTGTTTTGGGGTTTTTCTTTTTCTTTTGGTTAGATTGATCCAAACCCAGATCAGCCCACAGATGAGATACCATCTTGCCCCTCTCATTGAAGGAATCCATAAAAAGCTGACTTGACTTGGGTTTTGAATCACACCTTCTGTGTTGAAGATCAAGGTATCACAGTGGAGACTTGCTTTTAAAGGAAATGATATTGCTCTTGCCCATATGGTGAATAAATGAAAAGAACCTGTGATCATGCTTTTGACACCCACAGCACATCATAGGACTGCTCCACATGCTTGAAAACTTACGTCCCTTTCCATTAAATAGTAGCACATACTAGGAGCAGCCTTATTAGCATGCAGTCAGGTGTTTCAAAACACTCAAACCATGTTGTAATGTTGTAAGAGAGGAATGGCTGCTTTCTATGATTCTATGAAAATTTGCACATGCTTATTACTTATGTTATACAGTTGTGTCACTACAACTTATTCTCATTTGTGATGGACTGTTGTTACCAACCTCTCCCCAATTGTTTGTGATCTGCACAACAAGGAACAAAAGACAGCTTTACCAAAAAAAAAAAAAAAAAAAAAGAGATGAAGGCTGACAAATTGACAAATGCCCTGACTTTTTCTTTTAATTTGATGTAGCCTGGACTTTGCCTGCATATGCACATGCTCAGAATTGTCCTTGTAGGCTGATCATGTATCACCTCTTCAGCTTGGATCCTATTGTGGATTTATTTACAAGCATTACATGCCTTCAAAGTCAATCCTTGCTTTATGTTTTGCAGCCAACTGTAGTAGACAAGCAACAGATAGGTGGGGGAAGAGAGAACAGAAGGAAACTAATGAGACGTAATCAAGATTGTATACTTTCTTGATTTCTTAAAATAATTTATTGCCTTTGTGCTTTTATTGCAAATCAGTGTTTTGTTACAGACTGCCTAAAGATCACTAAATCTCAGGTGAATTCATCACTTGCCAAACTGTTAGAATACTATTTGTTTCATGTTGCACTGTTATTTATATTTGTGTTTTGGTTTTGTTCTTTGAGGGGGATTTTGAACAGGGACATGCACAAAACTTACAAAGTGAAAGCAGCACCAGCAGACACTAGCAAAGTGTGAAAAGAAAGTGTGAAAAGGGGATAATCAAATGCTGTCCAGGGTTCACGGGCAGCAATAATCTTAACTATTAGGGATGGGAAGGAGAAGGTTTGTTGGTTGGTTTGTGTTTGGTTTTATTTAAATAATATGTAGTTCCCTAATAATCAAAAATTATATATAAAATGAGTCTCCAGTAGAAAGCGTATTTCAGATTGCAAGAAAAAATTGAACTATGGCAACTAAGCAGCAGCTCAGTTTGCCCATTTGGTATTATCTTCAGGGTTTATGATACTCTGTCACAGAATCATAGAACACCAGATTGGAAGGGAGCTCAAGGATTATCTGGTCCAACCTTTCTTGGCAAAAGCATGGTCTAGACAAGATGCCCTAGTACACCTAAAAAGTGTCCAGTGTTGGGGAATCTGCCACTTCCCTGGGGAGATTATTCCAATGGCTAATTGTTCTCATTGTGAAAAATTGTTCTCTCGTGTCCAATTGGAATCTCCTGAGGAGTAACTTGTACCTATTACCCCTTGTCTTTTCCATGTGACTCCTTGTAAAAAGGAAGTCTCCATCTTCTTTGTAGCCACCCTTTAAATACTGGAACATGGTGATAACGTCTCCCCTTAGCCTTCTTTTCTCAAGGCTGAACAAACTCAGTTCTCTCAGCCTTTCTTCACATGGCACCTTCCCAGTCCTTGAATCATCTTTGTGGCTCTTCTCTGGACCCTCTCCAGCCTGCCCACATCTTCTTTTGTATATCAGGGACCAAAAGTGAACACAGGATTCCAAATGTGGCCTGACAAGGCACTGAGTAGAGTGGGAGAATGACTTCTTTATCTCTGCTGGTGGTGCCCTTGTTGATGCAACCCAGCATCCTGTTGGCTCTCTGCTGCAGCAGCTCACTATTCACTCGTATTCAGCTTGTTGTCCACCAGGATCCCTAGGGCCCTTTCCACAGAACATCTTCCCATCGGGATAGATCCCAGCCTATGCTGCATTCCTGGATGATGTTTTCCAGGTGCAAAATGTTTGTCTTTGTTGAACTTCATAAGGTTCTTGTTAGCCCACTCTTCCAGCCTGTCCAGGTCTTCCTGCAGGGAGGATCTTTCTTCCAAAGTGTCCGCTTCCCCATTCGGCTTGGTATCATCAGCACACTTCATCGGGGTACACTTAATTCCATCATCCAGATTACTTATGAAGATATTAAACAGCATTGGGGCCCAATATCGATCCCTGGGGGACCCCAGTTGTGACAGATTTCCAGTTTGAAAAGGAGCTATTTACCACCACCTTCTAGGTGTGGCCTGTCAGCCAGTTCCCCACACACTGCACAGACCGCTTGTCTAGACCATAACACATTAGTCTCTGTAGGAGGAGGCTGTGGGAAACAGCATCGAAAGCCTTGGAGAAATCCATGCAGACAGTGTCCACTGCTTGCCCCACATAACCAAGCCAGTTACTTAGTCATAGAAGGTGATCAGGTTTGTTAAGCATAATTTGCCCTTGGTGAGTCCGTGCTGGCTTTTCCCAATCCCATGTTTCATTTGACTTCTGATAGCCCCAAGGAAGATTTGTTCAATAACTTTCCCAGAGACTGAATAAGACTGATGGACCTATAATCTCTGTGATCCTCTTTTAATCCTTTCTTGTAGATGGGGGTGATATTAGCCTTCTTCCAATCTCCTGGGCAGTCCCCCGATCTCTGTGAGTTCTCAAAGGTTATGGAGAGCAAGCAGCCTTGCAATGATGTCAGCCAACTCTCTTAACACTCTTGGGTGGACAGTGTTAGGGTCCATCGATTTGTTGGGGTCAAGCTCCTGTAACAGTCCACATGCCAACTCTTTCTTCATTGACAGTAGGTCTGCATTTGCATCAACCTGGATTTTTGTTCCCAAGGCCTGGGGCCCAACAGTGCTGGGTGAAGAAGACAGAGGAGAAGAAAGTGTTGAGAACCTCTAGCCTTTTCAGCATTGTTGGTGACTAATTCATCTCTCCTGTTTAACATCAGATGCACATTTTCCTTCTGTTTCTTACTGTTTACATACACAAAGAACCCTTTCTTTGGATTTTTGACATCTCTGGACAATTTCAATTTGTTCTGAACTTCTGCTTTTCTAACTGCTTCTCTGCATGCCCTGGCAGTGCCTTTGTAGTATTCAATAGCTATTTGTCTGCTTTTCCATCTCTGGTATGCATCTCTTGGTTTTGAGCAGACTCGGAGGCTTGCAGTTAAGCCAGGGGGTCTCTTGCTCTGCCTATTTGGCGATTAATTACTTTTGTGCTTCCAGGAAAGCATTCTTGGAAAAACTCCCAGCCCTCACTAGCACC